GATCTTAGGGAGTGCTGTCCAAGTTCTGGTCAGATAGATAGTGTTTTATGTGGGGCCTTATACTGTTAACTGTTCAAGAGCAAGATTAAGCCATAGTTGCCTCTGAATATCTGAGCATTATGGTTCCTATTCATAAAAATGTACCTGTGTTTGAAGTTTCAAGGTAGGTCTTTTGAAGCTCACCCATGTTTCTTGGTTGTGCAGCATTCCACCATGTATAACAGGAAGCCTGACTTCTGTGTGAGGCAGAGGACAGAATATGCAGGACAGGTATATAGGTAAAAGTTGGTATTCTTTCTCAGATGCTGAGAATTGAGGGAGCAGGATAAGCTTACACAGTCCATCTTGGGTATGGAAGATAGGATTGTGTTGCCTCTGCATAGTCATCACGTGTAGACACAGGGCTCTGGGCAGGGGTGTCTATCTTCTGTTGCAGAAAGGGCTGGGCTCTCCTGGCTGTGTGTGGGTTGGATAAGCTTGGGGATAGTGTTTTTCTGCATGATGTTTTCAGATCAAATGATTAAACACTCTGCAAATAGAAACACAAGCTTAGCAGGAAAGTTTCTGGCCCCAAACCCTGGGTTTTGCCTTAAAATGCAGGTTGTAAAAATAGAGACAATCCTTTTTCTTCCCAACTGTTGATAGACTTTGGTGTGCTTCCTGGTTTACCCTTTCACTTGACCTTCCTCAGAGCTAGAGGCTGGAGGTTGGGCAGGCACATTTCCAATGTGCCTATCCTAATGTTCTCCAGAGATTTGTTCAGATGTGTATCTGACCCTCAGGGCACTCCTGGTGGCAGCTCTCAGTATCTTCGAACCATAGAGCTTGGTTAGTTTGTAAAGAGGCTCCAGGTCAGTACAAAGTGTTCAAAGGGAAAAGGTATAGGCTGGGGATCTGAGGTCAGCTGTCAGGAGGATGGCAGAGATGCCTGAGCTATGAAGATACTATAAAGGCCTTAATGTATAGCCTGATTTCTTTCACACCTACAGCTAACACTCAGTCATTGGCTCTTCAGGGGCCTGTCCCAACCCCACTACTTCCACACAGGTCTCTTGTGTGTGCCTTTCCCTAAAAGTCTGTGGTTTATATAGTCTGCTTATGGCTATATCTTTTCTAGTGCCACTGAGTGGGAGTCTCCCAAGTGCAGGGTTGTAATTTGTTTCCTTTCCTGCTGTACCCTAAGTGCCTAAAATGGTACATGGAGCCTCACACTTAGTGGATGGTTGGTGACTGCGTCACTAAGCTCTTTGGTGTTTGAAATTCTAAGTCTTGGTATTTAATTCTGATTCCATGTTGTTTAACGGCTACCTTGTGCTATTCCCTAAATAAGAGAGCTCAAAAATAGGACCTTTTATTTCTTCCCATGGGGATGGCTGCCATGCAGCACACTGTAGCCTTGCCTCCTCCCTTCTGCTGCTGCTCTTCCCATCCATATTGGATACTGAAAGTTTATCATGGTGCCATGATTCCTTAAGAGGCTGATTCTCAGGGTTTGTTGTGAACTTTCCATCCTGCAAAGACCTTGGCTGAAGAAGGGTGCAGCTCTGGGAGCTGTTTGCTCGACATACTTTGTGAAGACCCACTTCTAGAAAAAGCCAAGAATAGTGCCCTCTTCTGGGAGCCTGAGTCTTTTCCATAAATCTTGACATGTATTAACCCTCTAGTGTGTTCCTCCTTGAGGGACTCTGAACCCCCTTTACACTCCAGACTCAGTTACAGTCTGTGGTGCCTGTCCTTGCACCCATTCCTAGTGGTGCTGAGGCCCTGGAAGAAGCAGGCATGGATGTTCGGGAGACATTTTGCAGTAAACAGACAGTGTTGCAGAGATCCTGTGGGGCCACAGATGTCTTTTCCTATTTTCTTTCTCCATTGCCTATTCCCTGCTGGGGAGACAAAAGGACTTGTTTTTGCATTTGAAACTGTTGGCCAGAGTCCCTGCCAGCCCTCTGGGGAAATTAAGGTTTTGGGCTTTTGGTCTATTGCTGGAGGCTTCAGGGAAGAGGCCTTAAGAATGGTCCTGGATGTGTGATACAGGCTGATAATCTTGGCATTTAAAAGGTAGAGGCAAGAGGATCATGAGTTTGAGGCTGGCCTGGGGTTTATACAGCAAAATCCTGAGTTAAAAAAAGAGCACTTGGGAGGCAGAGGCAGGCGGATCTTTGTGAGTTTGAGGCCAGCCTGGTCTACATAGTGAGTTCCAGGACAGCTGGGGCTACAAGGAGACCCTGTCTCAAAAGGGCAAAAAAAAAAAAAAAGAAGAAGAAAAAAAAGAATAGTTCTTGGGGGCCAGAAGCACGGGTCATTGAGCTGTTTACCCCCTCAGTACTCAAACATTTTCCACCTTTGACCTGGGCAGGAAGAACTCTCCCTGAGCTGCTGACCCACCCTATACTTGGCTGTCCCCCTGCTGGGAGCTAGGAATAGCAGCAGGGTGGGTGGTGATGGGAAAGTACTTCTTGGCTGCTGTCCTGGGTGGGAGGCAGCCAAGGAAACATGGTGGGTGTTCCAGTTAGCTTTCTATTGGTTTATTCAAAACCAATTTGGGGAGGAAAGGGTTTATTTCATCTTACAACATCCAAGTGACAGTTCATCACTGAGGGAAGTCAGAGCAGGGACTCAAGGCAGGAACCTCAAGGCAGGAGCTGAAGCAAGAGACTATGGAAGAACACTGCTTACTGTTTTGCTTCTCTGGCTGGTGCTCAACCTACTTTTTAAAAAAAAAAAAATTATTATTTTTATTTATGTGTATGAGTGTATTGGCTGCATGTAAGTGAGTGCACCCGTGTTGTGCAATGCTGTGGAGGTCAGAAGAGGGCTCTGGATTCCCCTGGAACTGGAGTTAAGGATGGCTGGTTCGTAGCCACCATGTGGGTACTGGGAATCAAACCCGGGTCCGCTGCAAGAGCAGTCAGTGTACTCAACCACTGAGCCATCTCTCCAGCCCTTCAACCTACTTTCTTATACTACCTAGAACCACCTGCCCAGGGATGGCACCACTCACAGTATGCTGGGCCCTTCCACATCACTAAATAAAGAAAATGTTTCACAGACATGCCCACAGGCCAGTCCAAGAGAGGAAATTCCCCAGTAGAGGTTCTTTTTCCCCAGGTGCATCAAGCTGACAGCTGAAACTATCCAGTACAGTAGGGTAAGCTGTGTTACAGAAACTAGAAATTTGGAAGACATGTATCTTATACTCCTATTTGGGAACTTAAGTTATCATCATGAAGCACTGGATGAAGGAAGGTGTCTGCCTCCTTGGTTCTTCTGAGCTTGACTGGGTTGTAGCAGCAGTAGGGAACATTGTCCCTCAGGCACTGACAGGCAGAATAAGGACCAGCCACAGGGGCTTTGCCCAAGCAGTTGCCTTTCCTCTTTCATGTCATCTATATAATTGCATTTCAGAAGTGCTCTAACATGCTTCTTGCTCAGACTGCATATAGACCTGAACAGATTCTGTTTTATAAGCACATGCTGTTGACCCTGAGCAGAGGGACAGTGTGGCTGAGCTATGGGTGGCACTGCTTCCTCCTTTGCACAACCCTTTTCTCTTTCTGGGTATGGTTATTCCAGGGACAACCTACAGGACCACATGTCTACAATAGAATGAGTTCTCAGGACAGGAGTTTTCTGGGCAAGTCAGTGCTCCTAGAGAGCATGGCTTAACTGGGTTCTGTCCCTCCTCCACTCATGAGTGCTTCATGTACCAGTGCACACTGTGCCATGATCATGGTGTGGTCAGGAGATAACATTAGGTAGCAGACAGGTAGCATCCTGTGGTCATGAGGAGTTAGGGTGATGGTAGGGTCAGGGGTCAGCACCTCACTGAGAATGTGACACTTGAGTTGAGATTGAAGGAATGAGGGTGTCCTGAGGCATTTGGGGACAAGGATACATGGCCAGATTTGTCAGGGTCCTAAGAATGGTTGGATCTGTGTGCTGGGGCAGGAAATGAAGGCAAGAAGTGTGGGCAGGACACATAGACTCTCTGTGTTAGAAGACCTTGGTTGGTACCACTCAGGTAGAAGCTGTGGGGAGAGTGGACCAAGGGGCATCTTTAGGCGTTTAGTGGTACCTTTGGTAGCTCTGGCCTGGTGCTGAAGTGGTTTGGATTTGAATGTCCTTGTAGGTAGAACACATAGGATTTGCTGATGGCTCTTAAGGTGCTATATGAAATAAATGAGTTGGGGATAGTGTTGCCATATTTGGCCTTAACTATGTCAGTCACTGAGAGAACACTGAGTGAAAGGTTTGCTACAGTGGAGTGTTCTCTGATAGGTATCTACACATACTGTACCTGGGCACTGCTAGGACTAGCAAGGTTCATGATGGTAGGTGCTTTGTGCTTCTCAATCTAGAATATTCTGTGGGACTTGAAAGTTCCCCTCTTTATCCCATCTCTCTTTGGGGGCATGTCCTACTCTGCCTGACTGCCCATGCCCACCTGTGACTAGGCCTACATCAGGTGTGCAGGGCAGGTCCTTTCACATGGAGGATGTGCTGTGGGTGCCAGGTGTCTGCCAGGGGTTCATGTAGGCAGCAGGTGCCTCTGCTATACCAGGTTTCCAGGAGGGAAGGAAGAGGCTTCCCTTGAGCTCTTATAGGCTAATTGAGTTATACATTATTCTAGGGTTAGTCAGAAGTTCATTTGTGCGTGTGTGTGTGTGTGTGTGTGTGTGTGTGTGTGTGTTCCTAACATATTTTCTTTTTTGTCATTTTTGAGACAGCGTCGCCCTGTAGTCCCAGCTGGCCTGGAACTCACAGAGATCCGCTTGCCTCTGCCTCCCAGAGTGCTGGGGTTAAAGGCGTGCACCACTAGGCCTGGCCATATTTTCTTATGTATATTGAGATAGAAAAAGATAAACTCTTACCCACGAGCTTTCCACCTGTATTTTCTGCCAGCCAACAGAGCAGTGTGTGAGGTCAGCATCTGTGAATGGTGTGTTACTCTGTGGGAATGGGTAGATGGCTCCTGTGGTAACAGTGTCCACTCCTCACAGCCTGTGCACATCTGGTGTGGTGAGGCTTCATATTAACAGCTGGTTGGAAGTCAGTTTCTGCCTGCCCCACAAGATACACTACGCAGCCTCGAGTCTGATCCCTCCCGAAGCCATCGAGCGAAGCCTGAAAGCCATCCGGTGAGAACTCCCAAACTTTCTGCAAAGACCTTTCCCTTTAGCTGCTGCCTGATACTTCACTAATTACGTCATCCCAAACATTCCATTTCTTCTTCCTGTCACAAGAGTTGGCAGGTAGGGCTCTGCTGTTAATAAAACCACATGATTTTATATCCAGTTCTGTCTAGAGATGATCCATCTCAGGTTTCCCCTGGGCCCTCCCAGCACTGCCTGGATGAGTGGGGCTCCCTGCCAAGGGCCTCACCGAGGTCTAGCAGGGAAGCCTGAGGAGAGCTGTGTGTTTGAGTGTGGGGCTAGGCCAGGTCTCTGGCAGATTATCTTCATGTACTACTCAGTGATCCTTGGATCATGGGAACTAATTAGTTTCTTAAATTAATTGATTTCCTGTAAGGAAAAAGTTGAGTCTAATCCTAGCATACATGAATTGACACAGACAGACACAGACACATCTATTTATTCGAATAATGTTTAATTAAATCTAAGGCTGGGAATGTGGCTTTAGTAGAGTGCTTGCCTAGCAGGCATAGGCCCTGGGTTCTATTCTCAGCACCATAAAGAAAAAGAAAAAAGAAATGAGCACATTCTTAACATTTGGAAATGACAGCAAAGCACTCATTGCCCGGTCCTCCCACCCTCCCCCATCTATGCTCCAAGTCAAATGCTTTCCTCTTTGCTAAGCATATTTTTATATAATTCTATTCATAGTCTGTGGAGGGGATTTTGCTTTTCCTGTGTTTAGTACTGTTGCCTTAGGAAAGATTCATTTCTCTTTCTTTTTTTCCAAGATTCATTTCTTTCTCTTTTTTTCTTTTTCTTATGGTACTAATGATTGAACCTAGAGCCTTGCACATGCCGGGCAAACACTCTATCACTGAACTGTAGCCGGAAACTGTTTTTCACTTTTAAATTATTATCTATTCATATTTATTTGTGTGTTTGGTGTGTGTATACACGTGTGTGAGGTGGCAGAGACAAGTGGATTCCCAAGGGTTTGGTGACCAGCCAGTCTAGCACAGTTTCAGGTTCAATGAGAAGTCTCAAAAAATAAGGTAGCGGGTTGGCTTGATGGCTCAGCAGGTCACCAAGCCTCATATGACCTGAGTTTGAGCCCCAGAACCCACATGGTGGAAGGAGAGAATTGCACACAGCACAGGTGCCCACACACATACACAAAATAAATAAATGTTAAAAAAAAAAAGGTGGCGAGTGATAAAGACATTTGACATTAACCTCCGACCTCCGTACTTGCATGCATAGGCTCATGCATATATAGAACATACATGCACAACAAAACAAAACTGAAAAAAGAAAACAATGTGCTGGGAAATCCCAGAGGTGGGATGGAAGTCAGGTGTTCAGGCTCTCCTTAGTTTTGTTCTAATTTTTTTCCAAAGGCAGCAGTAATTTGCAAATTTTGTGAAGGCCCCTGGACACATGACTGTCCTTCTCTCTGATTTTTCCCTCTACCTTTGCTGCCCACACCGTTCAGTGCCTGTGGGCTTTAGCTGGATGTGGGTTTTCCAGGTGTTTACCTGGTACAGGGGCCCCTGTGGCTCTTCATGTCCTGTTCACATGCGCTTCTGTCCTCCAGTCCATACCATGCCCTGTTGCTGCTCAGTGATGAGAAGACTCTGCTGGGCGAGCTCCCAATTGACTGCTCTCCAGCCCTGGTACGGGTAATCAAGACCACATCTGCTGTGAAGAACCTGCAGCAGCTAGCCCAGGATGCTGATCTGGCCTTATTACAGGTGGGGTCCTGGGGGCCTGGAAGGGTGGGAAGAAGAGACTTGTGGGTATATACAGAGCAGGCAGCCTGTGGGTGGAGGTGGAAGGTGCTGAGACATCAGGAAAGCAGATTGCTTTCCATGGCTGCATCCCCAGGGCCCCTTTGTATCATAGATAGATACTACATGACTTGCCACAGATCAGGGTGGTTCTTGGGTGGGAGACTTGGGGTTCTGGCATCTACATCCTCAGAGTTGTCTTGGTGAGACACAGGACTGAATTCTGTTGAGCAGAAGTGAGGCAAGCCATGGGAGAAAGGAGAGAGGTGCTCCCAGCAAAGGCCTAGAGCACAGGTGGGGAAGGTAGGAAGGAGTATGCAGGGAATCCTCCAGCTCAGGAGAGTTTTTTAAAACATTTTATTATTTATTTATTTGCTTATTTATTATTTATTTAATGTAGATCAGGCTGGCCTTGAACTCACAGAGATCCGCCTGCCTCTGCCACCCAAATGTTGGGGTTAAAGGTGTGCGCCACCATGCCCGGCCCCTAATTATTATTATTATTATTTTTATTTTATGTGTCTGAGTGTTTTGCCTGCATGTATGTGAGTGCACCCGTGTTGTGCAATGCCTTGGAGGTCAGAAGAGAGCTTCGGATTCCCCTGGAACTGGCGTTAAGGACGGTTCGTAGCCACCATGTGGGTGCTGGGAATTGAACCCGGGTCTGCTGCAAGAGCAGTCAGTGCTCTTAACCGCTGAGCAATTTCTCCAGCCCAGGAGAGTCTTATAGTGGCATAGGAGCAAGCATATGGGAAGTGAGAGCAGCAGGCTTGCCCTGGGCAGAGCTGGGACTTGACCTGAGCTGGTAATCTTACCCTCCTGTGCATGCATATCTGACTTCTTTGTACAGGTTTCCACCTTCTTGCAGAATCATGTGTTGGTGGGCTGCTCTTCGGCAGTGGGAAGCCCCCAGTCTTGTCTGTGTTTCTGGTTGAAGTATGGGGAGGAAAACCACAGAACAAGCTGGTGGTCAAGGGCCTGGACCTGCTGGTCAGGTTACCTTTGCCATGGCTGTGTGCCATCCAAATGACAATCTAGGGGCAGGACCAAGTGAATGAATGCTTGTGGGTGGCCAAGGCCCTGGATCTGGTGATGTGTACCATGTGGCCACCAGGGGGCAGAAGAGGTTTACCCAGGGACCTCAGAAAGGCTGCCTGTTCACAGGCTTGAGATAGGGCCTCTTGTGACCCTCTTACTGGGCCTCCTGGCTCTGTGTGGGCCTGAGAAGTGGGAAGATGCTGGCATTGCTGGTGGTCTTTGCTTCTTAGGCCTGACTCTTACTCCCCTCCAAAAGACTTTTGGATTCTCTTTTAGAGTAAGTTCCTCTTTGTGTCTATCCCGTGACTCTTCATTGGTTCTATAGAACACTTAGCAGATTCTGCCTTTATGTTTCAACCAATCTCTTGGGCTGGACAAGACCCAGCAAGGACCACATTCTGCTTCTCTTTGTAGCGTCCACAAGACATATAAACATATTCCAGCATACCCACAGAAGTGGGGACCGGGCCTCTGTTCTAATGCATTTTGGCTATGTGGATGATGGCTATATTTGCGCATCTTCCTCAAAGCTTTGAAAGGACGTGGCCATTCACTCTTTACTAAGAAGCTGTTTGATGGAGTCTGTGCTAGGAATATGCTTACCCACTCCCCTTAGTGTCAGAGTCCACTTTGATAAACGTTTGATGTCCCTTTGATGTCTCCTTCACTTCCTTACCTTGTCTTGTCTGGGGATAGGGAAGTGGTTGTTGTTTCCTTCCATACCCATTCCCTGATGAACTTGACACAAACCAGAGTTTGTTGCTGGTGTGATTGTGTGAAAGCCATGTGGGGCCCAGCCCTGGTTATTTACCTCATCAACCTCTGGGACTGCTTTCCTATAAATGTCCCTGTAGGGAATAGTGGCCCCAGGGTGGTGCTGGACCTTTGAGGAACATCTGCCTTGGATGTGAATGCCACAACATAAGATCACTCTGCTGGGCCTTATGGCACAGTCCTGTAACTCTATGAAGGCTGAGGCAGAAGGGTCCTGAATTCAGGCCTGGGGTACAAAGCAAAACCTTGTCTTTGGAAAATAAACAACAAAAAAGAAAATTACTCATTCTATCTCAATCCATAGAGGATCAAATTTTGGGGAGTTTGCTATGATAAAATTCCTAATACATATTCTCTCATGAAAATTCAAATATTACATAAATGTAACTCTATGAAGGCTGAGGCAGAAGGGTCCTGAATTCAGGCCTGGGGTACAAAGCAAAACCTTGTCTTTGGAAAATAAACAACAAAAAAGAAAATTACTCATTCTATCTCAATCCATAGAGGATCAAATTTTGGGGAGTTTGCTATGATAAAATTCCTAATACATATTCTCTCATGAAAATTCAAATATTACATAAATTATAGAAATCTCCACAGACACGGGTGCACTTATCTACATGCAGGCAATATACACATACACATAAAAAATTACATATACATATACGTGTGTGTGTGTATGTGTGTGTGCTGTTTTGAGATAGGGTATCTTTTCTGTAACCCAGGCTGGCTTCAAATTTGTGATTTTTCTGCCTCAGCATCTTGGCCTTTTGGTTGTGTCACAAACCCAGTTTCCTTCAGTTTTTGTTTGTAGACAGGGTCTCCCTGTATCCCTAGCTGGCCTGGAATTCGCTATGTAGACCATGCTGGCTTTGATTTCATAGAGATCTGCCCACCTCTGCCTCCTGCGTGCTGAGTTTAAAGGTGTGTGCCACTATACCCAGCTGTTTTTTTTGTTTTTTTGTTCTTTTTTTTTTTTGAGACAGGGTCTCCCTGTAGCCCGAGCTGTCCTGGAACTCACTATGTAGACCAGGCTGGCCTTGAACTCACAGAGATGTGCCTGCCTCTGCCTTTGCCTTCCAAGTGCTGGGACTATAGGTGTGCACCACCACGCCCAGCTAGCTGTTTTTAATATATATATATATATATATATATACACATTATTTTATGTGTATGAGTGTTTTGCCTGAATGTATATGTGTACCATGAGTGCAATGCCTGCAGAGGCCAGAAGAGGGCGTCAGATCCCCTGGAACTGGACAGTTGTTAGTGGTCATGTGGGTACTGGGAACTGAACCTGGGTGCTCCTGCCCATTGAACCATCTGTCCAGCCCTGTCTCATTTTATTTATGGTGGTAGTAGAGATTGAACCCAGGGCCTCATACTTGCTATGCAAGCACTCTACTACTTAGAGGAGTAGAAGTCTGCTGAAGGTAGTGGGGAAAGGATGGGGTGGGCAGATCACCAGGCCAGTGGTGGCAGATGTGGATACAGTGGGCATGTCTGCCTGAGAGCTCATGTCAGTGGCACTTGGGATGAGAGGAAAGAGAGACAACAGTGACTGCTGTTTCCTCCCTATTTGAGGTGGTGAGGTCACTGGGGGCCCTGCTGGCTAATATCCTCAGGCACTGTGTTCAGGTAGGGGAACTCACCACCCTGAATCCATCTGCTGAGGATGGAGTGGTATCCTGATGACACAGGCAGAAATGCTAATTGCTTGGGACTTCATAGAGTTCTTTTCAGGAAGGGCTATGGTGTTATGCTTTCTGGCCTAGTTGCCCCTATGAAGTTGGGTGTACTGAGGTTTCTCCTGGAAAGGATTTCTGGTGTTTTTGTCTCCTGGTATCTGAAAGCACAGGAGAGTAGGATGGCAGGATGTTCTCTGGGGAAGGTAGAGTACACAGGACAAGTTGAGACTGTTGGGTATACAGGGATAATACATGAGTGACTCTACATCTTTTTAAAAAATATTATTTTATGTGTGTGAGTATATTGCCTGCATGTATGTGAGTGCACCCCTGTCGTGCAATGCCTGGACGTCAGAAGAGGGCTTCGGATTCCCCTGGAACTGGAGTTAAGGATGGTTCGTAGCCACCATGTGGGTGCTGGGAATCGAACCTGGGTCCTCTACAAGAGCAGTCAGTGCTCTTAACCACTGAGCCATCTCTCCAACCCCTGATTCTACATCTTATTGCTTTGGGATCACAATGCTGGGGTTCTGGTGGGCATGGGAAGGCTATGCGTCTGCTGGAATCATCCAGCCCAGATGGGCTGTGTTCCCTAGCACCCTGATACCATGTTTGTGGGCTTACTACCTGGCAAAGTAGTGGAGCCAAACAGCACAGGTAACTTTGAATACAGGAAACTGTGCTAGTGGTGTCTAGTACTCTGGTGGAAGGTTGGTAAGGTGTGGCTCCAAGTTGAAGTTCCAGGGGGCATGGCTACAAGTCTGTGCTTCATAGGCCTCAGGCCATTTTCTTTAGGCAGGAAGGCCATGGCTTCCTAGACTCAGTCCTTCCATCTCCTTTTGGTCTGCAGGTTTTTCAGCTCGCAGCTCACCTGGTATACTGGGGCAAGGCCGTTATCATCTACCCACTGTGTGAGAACAACGTCTATGTCTTGTCTCCTAATGCCAGCGTGTGTTTGTGAGTACTGAAATCTGGAGTCTGGAGTTAGAAGGGGTAAGCCCAACAAGACCTTTTAATGGTACGTCCAGGGGCCTGGTACCTAGAGGCTTTGAAGCCTCGAGGCCAGCTCTCACTGCATAATACTGGCATGGTAGGTACCAATCCCAGTCTGGTTTAGTGCTGCATGACCCAGCCCATGTTAGAGCCATCCCTTCCTGAGATCAGAGGGGTTCTGTGGCTCCTGCCATCCCTTGAAGGACAGTGCCCTCTTAGTTCACCTGGGTTTGCTTAGTTGCCCCTTACTCCATCCTGTCATCAGTATGCCCACCCGTTTTGCACACCATCACACCATGATTCCCCACTGCTCACTGAAAGCCTGTGGTGAGGGAACAGTGTAAAAAGACCATGGCTGTGACCACAGTTGTGCTCTCTTGCCCTCAGGTACTCCCCACTAGCCGAGCAGTTCTCCTGCCAGTTCCCATCTCATGACCTGCCATCTGTCCTGGCCAAGTTTTCCTTGCCTGTCTCCCTGTCAGAGTTCAGGAGCCCTCTGGCTCCCCCTGCTCAGGAGGTGAGTCACAGAAGTGCCTGAAGCTCAGGTATGACTTGTGAAGTATATTGGGCCAGTGACATTTTTGCCTTTGTTTGGGGGCAAATGCTGCAGGCTTCCTATGGTCCATGGAGCCCACCATGGCATCTTTAGGGTTAGAACTTGACTGGAGAACACTGGCTTTTCCTAGGCTTGCAGGATCCCTTTGTCTTGCTTTCTGGTAAGGGGTTTTGCACAGAGGATGCAGACACCTTTGTTTTCACTAAGTCTGGATCCTGCTTTCCAAGAGAGCTTGGCTCCTGTATTCCTTCTCCTGGGGACTTAGCCAGGGGATCTATGTGTAGAATCCTAGCATCCCTGGTCCCAGAATTCCATGAGAACTTAAAATATATCAGCCTAAGACTGTGTCTGGTGGGCAGGGGCTGGCAGGTGGAGGCTAAGTATGGTGGGAGTCCTGCAGATACAGGGGATGAATTTGTCTTGGGCTGCAGGGTCAGTCGCTTTTCACAGCCCCATGCTGGTGAGATGGTAACTTGGTGCCAAGGAGGCTTTGCTCCCTCCCCCTCCATTGAGCCTTGAGGGGGGAGGGGGAGGGGACCCAGGGCAGGGCCAGATAGGACAGGTGTCTGAGACAAGCTGGGTGATCTCCATGCTTTATCTTCAAAAGCAAAGTATTTGTTTTAATATGTGCCAGATATACTGGGCAAAACCAGTCTTTAAAGTCAAACACTTCCCCTTCTCAAACTGTGAATGGGAGTGAGAGCCTGGGTTTTCAGCTCATTTACATGCTGAGTGTGGCAGAGTTCTAAAGCTGCCTTTCAGAGCCTTTGGTTTTTTAGGAACCATGCCAGTTGGATAAAAGATACATTCTGCATCTGTACCCTCTCCCTTTCCCCCAGGCAGTTCTTGGGGAGGGTCTGGCAGTGCTCCCATCCCAGCAGAAACTTCCTAGCTGTCTGGATAACGGGGTGGATATTCCAGGCCATGCCTGAACAGCTGCTTCAGGCCTGGTCATGGGGCTGGGATGGAGCTGGGTTTGGTTTTGCCAATCCCAGGGACATGCTGTCTGGTGTTTAGAGAGCTTCTATGCTTTATTTCTAAAATTTTGTTTAGATATTTTGACCATGCTTAGTATGTACATGTCTCTCCCCAATAATTTAGCCTCCTTCCATGAATGACCTGAGCAGCATTCTCTGAACCTCCCAAAGATAACACTGGTACAGTCAGCTCACGCTTTGCTGTTTGGTGTCTGTGCCTGGGAGGGGCTTTCCCATCAGTGTTGGGTTCTACCTGCCACAAGGCTTCCCTGCTGTGGGCCAGTGCTCACAGGCTTGAATGTGCCTTACCATGGGAAAGAGTCATTGGCTCCATACCTGAGCAGTAGGTCCCTGTCTCATTTCCTTCTGTTACCATTGGTGCTCCCAGAGCAGACTTTCAAGTAGAGGCAAGGACTTTCTGATCACAGGGAAACTGCTTCTCTGAACAGTGTGTGGACTTACCTGGCAGTGGATGGTCTAATGGCAGGAGGTTCTTAGAAGGAAGCAAGAACAGACTTGGCTCTAGAAGTTGGCTCAGAGAAGTGAGGGAGTCAGCTATGTGATGCGGTTAGTGCAAGTATGATCTGGGGATTCTCCTGGCACCTCTACTTTCCCCTTGGTGAGCTGGCCTTGCAGAGTGATCCAGAAGTTAAGGGTTCCTCCTAAATAAGAGGCCTTCCTGCTGTGTTGTCAGCACCAGGGAACATGTTGGGGCTGCCCTTGGCCATGGCTCTCTCATCCCCAGGAAGGGATCAAGGCTAGAGCTGGGGAAGCAGCCCTACCCACCTCTATGCTGCTCACCTGCAGACCCAGCTCATCCAGATGGTGGTGTGGATGCTGCAGCACCGGCTCCTCATCCAGCTTCACACCTATGTCTGCCTGATGGCTTCACCCAGCGAAGAAGAGCCCCGAATGCGTGAAGATGACATCCCCTTCACGGCCAGAGTTGGTGGCCGCAGCCTCAGCACACCCAATGCCCTAAGCTTCGGCTCCCCAAGTAGGATTCCCTGCCAGGGACTGTGTCTGGTAATGGGGTTGGGGTAGCATCCAAGAAGACTGGGCACTGCTGGAATGAGGTGCTATACACATATCCAACACGCACAAGTCCTGTCTCCCCTATACTGCCATGGGTCTGAGGAGGCTCTGCCTCTGGACTCGAGCAGGAGCTTGATGAGGTCAGGAGCACTTTTGTCCACAACACTGTTGGAATCTCCTGCCCCAGCCTACGTCCCAGCAGGACCTCATACCATCACCACTGGGACCAATGAAACATCTGCCTGGTTCAGGGCTCATGAGGAGATAGTGATAATTGTGTTCAACTCTGGAAAAACTTGTGTCTATCCTCTCCCCCTAATCCTCCAAGGTAGCAGTTAGGCCTCAGGCCTGGGAAAGATGAGGCAGGAAGGCTTTGGAAATGCTCTTCTAGCTGTCTGGTGTTGAGCTCCATGTTTGCTGAGAGGGACAAGACACCCGTGCCTGCCTTGGGGTGTAGTGGGTATGCAGCATGCTTCTGTTCAGGGCCCCAGAGGCTGCTCCCATAGGGGCAGCTCTTTGTGTTCCAGGTTAGCCACACAAGAAGCATGACACAATTTGATGTGTGTTGCAGTAAGCTTCTGGGTGAAGGTAGATGATGTAGTTGAGCACCAGGGGGTAGTATGGCAGTGACCTCTGGGTCTCGATGTTGCCACTGCCCTCGATGCTATCTTGGCACACTGGAACCCACCCTAGCCTGTTCCCACTCACAGCCAGCAGTGATGACATGACCCTCACCAGCCCCAGCATGGACAACTCCAGTGCAGAGCTGCTTCCCAGCGGGGACTCTCCACTTAACAAGAGGATGACTGAGAACTTGCTGGCCAGCCTCTCAGAGCATGAGCGGGCAGCCATCCTTAATGTGCCTGCAGCCCAAAACCCTGAGGACCTCCGCATGTTTGCCAGGTAGGGAGCAGGTGGCTGGGTAGGGCAGGGCCAATTCTGGGGTCTGGACAAAGTGGAAAGGGGCACTGATATACCCCATACAACTACATATATAAAACCACTGGCCATAGCTCATGGTGAGGTGGTGTCTCAAACACTGGGTCCCTACCTGGTACTAATATATGCAGCACAGGAGTTACTGTCCAGGTGCAGAGAATGCAGGCTTTGGCCAAGCCCCTAGATCTAGTGGGCAGCCTACCCGGTACTTCTGGATGTTTCTTGTCACTGCTTGAAAGGTAGCACTCTCAAATTCTGACCTATGTTGGGTTTGGCGGGAATCTGTCCACGATTCTTGGCCCTGGGGGTAAATCAGGATCCCTGATTTCATAGGTATATCATAGCAGCCTTATGCCTGCCATCTCCACCCAGACTTAGGTGTTGTAGGGGCATAGTGTTATGGGAGAGGTTAGGTTGTCAGCCTTGAGTGTGCTTAGAACCACATTGCAGGGGTCTGGAGAGATAGTTTAGAGGTTAAGAGGACCTCTGAATTCGATTCCCAGCACCCATGTGACTAAAAACTGTCCATAACTCCAGTTCCATGAGATCTGACACCCTTTCTGGCCTCTTTCAGCATTGCATACATGTGGTGTACTTATATACACACAGGCAAAATACACATATACATAAAATTAAAAAACAAACTATAGCTGAGCGTGGTGGTGCACGCCTTTAATCCCAGCACTCGGGAGGCAGAGGCAGGCAGATCTCTGTGAGTTCAAGGCCAGCCTGGTCTACATAGTGAGTTCCAGGACAGCTGGAGCTACAGGGAGACCCTATCTCAAAAAGACCAAAAACACAAACAAAAAAACCCAAACTACATTGCAGGCCCTTGGAGGACCACCAGTAACTTTTCCAAGTACTGATCCAGCCTTTACCTGTGCCCTGGCTTTTGTGCTGGCTTTATCTGAGGAAAGCTCCCTGGAGCAGGGACTGAACTCTATTCCATAGGAGCATAGAAAGAAGCCTTTAGCACTCTCTCCCCACATCAGGATGCATGATTAGGTGGCTCTGGGTTTTCACAGCTGTGCTTCCTCATGGACTCACTTCTAGGTCCAGGATGTTTGTCTGCTCCTGTGGGTTGAGGGTAGGTCACAAAGCAGATCCACTCGCCAATGGCTGTTAGAGGCCTTGGTAGTGCTAGCCTTGGGCTAGACTCATGCTGTCCTATCCCCTCCAGGCTCCTTCACTACTTCCGTGGCCACCATCACCTGGAGGAGATCATGTACAATGAGAATACTCGGCGCTCCCAGCTGCTCATGCTCTTCGACAAGTTCCGCAGTGTGCTGGTGGTGACCACCCATGAGGACCCTGTCATTGCTGTCTTCCAGGCACTGCTCACATGAGCCCAGGCAGCGTGCTGGGTGTGTAAATGGGCACTAGCCTCTCCCAACCCCAGAGCTCCTGCCTGGTCTGAGCTTTATTCCTGAGGCCTGGCATTGTATGTATAGGTAGCCTCAGCCTGAATGAAGGCCCACAGAGCCCCTGTTCTTTCTTGCTCTAAGTCTGGTCAGTAGCATCTAATCTAAGGAGCAGGCCCCGTCTAAGGGTCTTTTTTTTTTTTTTTTTTTTTTTTTTGAGACATGATCTACTGAAGCCCAGGCCTCAGGATTTGCTATGTAGCCAAGTATGACTTTGAACTGATATTCCTGTCTCTGCCTTCCAAGTGCTGAGGTTACAGGAGTATGCCACCAATCTTTTTTTTTTTTTTTTTTAAAGATTTTTATTTATGTGTGTGTATCTGTGTATCCGCCACATATATCCAAGTGCTTGTAGAAGCTTAGGAGAGGGTGTCAGATCCCTTAGAACTAGAGTTTCAGTTATGAGCTGCCTGTCATGGGGGCTGGGAACTGAACACAGGTCCTCATGAAGAGCAGGAAGCACTCTTAACTGCAGAGCCACCTTTCCAGCCCTACCAGTTTTACTCTTCAATCTGGTCCTTACAGTACCTTAACATCACTGAGTTGGAGAAGGCCTTCCAGGACTTGTGTGTAAAGCCATGCCCTTTATACCCTCAGGGGCTGTCTTTCTGAACCCCTTTCCAACCTGCTCCTTATGTTGGCTACCCTGAAGAATGTGGACAGAACACTAACTTATTCTTGCTTCTCTGGTAGCAGTTAGTATATAAGGTCTAAGCACCTGGCCCAGCTTTCACCACAACCCTGCAAAAGCCTAGACTATCAGGCTCTGCCAAGCTGTTACCCCAATGTTACCAAGATGGTATACTGATCATTTCAGGTATAGAGGCCTAGGCTGGCCCAGCTGGGCTAGTGCATCCCTGTCACCTGAGCACATCCTATACTAAGGGATAGTTCAACCCACTGCCTAGGATCCCTGCCCTGGTTTTATGTTTGCACATTGATGATTCTTCCCATACTGGGTGCCCTGGCCTCCTAGCCTGGAGGAAGAGCTAGTTACATGTGCATATTTGCTGGAGAGATCTGGCTGAGACATGGATAATTCCCTACAAACAAGATATTTATTCTGTGTTTAAACAATTAAAAAGCTTGTCAGAGCAGGCTGTTTGCTCAGCTACTCTATCTGTTACACTAACCCACGGGCTACCCTGGATATAGAAGCGCAGGGGCTTCTGGGTCCACTCCCCTGCATAGCCAATGCCCACTCGGGCTGCTGTCACCACAGCTAGCTCACTGGGCCCCAGCCCTGTATGGCTGCCACACTCCAGCCACACAGCCTCATCCTGAGTCAGGTCTCGCTGGTCAAAGCTTTTGTCAATGGCTAGGGCCTGGCACAGCTTTGAGGGACCATTACAGAGCTCACGGTCCTTGAGGGCACGGCCAACACTGCTTTTCCGGAGGGTGCTGCGAAGCTGTCGCATGGTCTCCAGACCCTCCATGGGCTCTAGTGCTCGAAGCAGGACACAAGCCCCATCCCCTGTAGGACAGACAAGACAACTTGGAAATGGAGCCTCTCCGACCTCCTACTCCCCCTGCTTCTGTGCATATCCAATGTTGCAGAGGTAGTGCTGCTGTGTTCCTTCATTTGTAAACCTGCATTCTTTGCAGCCAGATCCCTCAGCCTCCCCCTTCCCTACTGCATCTACAAGATGGCCAAACCTTTAAGTGCCTTGAGAAGCTTCCACCAGGCAATACTGACAGCGAGACCTCCACCACAGCCAGAACTAAGTATGTCTAACTAGTGTGGGGAGTGTTGGGCATCAGCACCCTCTCTAGCGTCCCCAGGTCTTAACTGGTAGCAGCTATGAGACTGCCACAGGAAGCCCTATAGAGCCAGCACCCCCAGGAGGGGTGTTTGTGACTCTGCTAGGAAACAGCCTCAGACTTGTCCAGATTTCCTAGCTAGGCTTCATGGATCCCCATCTGCCATATCCACTCAGCATCCCTTTTGGCCAAACTGGGAGCTACCAGTGATACTGTGAGAGTCCCATAACTCGATGGAAAGACCATTAATACCCCCACAACCACAGCAGCAGGAGGTGCAGCCAAAGTCCTGTTTACTTTCTTTGGGGTCTCCTTTGGCCTAGTGCTCCCTAACCTCTAGGCTACTTCAGAGGCCACAAATAGCAAACTGATACTCCCAGGAGCCCACCAAGAGGATTTCCCCTACTCTATATGTCTGGGAAGGACCTTAGGATTCCCAGCTGTGAACAGTGGGTACCCTTGACACTCCAGTAAGGTTGCTTACTGGATCATGTATTCTAACTCACTTACATGCTCATGGCCTCCCTGTCCAGCCACCCGGGAGTCAAGGTTTATATTAGCACCCAGGGCTGATCCAGCAGTGAATGAAGCCATGCTTCCAGAAAAGTCTGTAGCCAGCAGGCAGTGGGCTATGAGCAGATACCACTTAACCAGGCAGTTTTCAAATAAACTTAAGATACAATCTAGGTCAAGAAAGCCTGCAAAGTCTACTTCCTTACACTTATATGCTGTGCCTAGCTCACAACCTGAGGCTCCCTCTGTGCCTTCTCTGAGCCACTTCAGGGAGGAGCAGGTCCCTGTGAGTTCAGGACACATGATCCCTACTATTACTGAGCCCCAGAGCTATCTGTAAATAGGCTGAAGAAACAGCTTAGCCCCTCATTGCCCCACACCATCTTGGTTCCTTCCCATCTTTATTCAAAGACCTCTGACCTCTTCTCACCAAGTCTTCATGTCTTTGCCCAACTCTGCTGCACAGCAGCGCTAACTTGGCATTCTGACTTCTGTTCTGCTCAGCCCTGCAACCTTTATCCCAGCCTGTCAGCATCCATGTCCTTGGCCTCTGCTCTACCTGGATGACCTTAATCAAGACCATGCACCCTTGTAGGATTCTGTCCCTAACCTAGATGTTCCTGGGTCATTTTGGTTATATGTTCAGAAAGTTAATAGGTCATACCTTGCCTTTGACCTGTTCACCGTGCACTAGGAACCCATGTGTGTTCCTCCTCCCTTACAGACTATAGCATTATCCATTTCTGGCTGACACCTTAGTTCAGCCAGGCCAGAGAGCAGAGTTAGTTCTGTCCAAGAGGACTCTTGCCATCTCTTGATGTCCAGTTACCCAGAGTTTCACTCAATATCGACTTTGTGGCAGGCACAGGTCCATGCACCTCCGGCTCCCAAGGTCTCTACACTGGACACCCCCAGTTGTCTGCTATGGGCAGCCACCGTTCTCTTTATCACAAGTACTTGACCAACAAACCCAGAATATTTGGTCACCATGGGGCAAACAGGGAGGGCTCAGCAGACAGATGTTGGGATAGGCCTGCTAAACTGCTTCTGGTTAGTAGTGGCATTGGCAGGATGCTACTGGGGCTTCAGGCATGGATCACTGAGGACAGAAGGCTGCGAACTTGCCAGGACAAAGCATGCCTAGAGCTGGACCCCAGAGGTAAGTTGGTTTCTCCCAGCAGCACTAGACCAGCATCTTTCCTCTAATGATATCTGGGGCCAGAAGGTTTTCTGGAGTCCATCCTGTGCATTATACAGCTGTTAGTGGCATCCCTGCCTTTACCCACTAGATGCCAACCAGCTGATAACCAAAGATGTTGCCAAATGTTTCCTAATGTCCCCTAAGGGGATGGAAATGCTCCTGGCTGAGAATAACTGAGCCATACCTCATAAGAGGCCACTTGGCAAGGCACTTGTCTGAGCCCAGCTTATCCTAAACCGATCTCACTCCTGCTTTCCACTTCCCCACCCCCTGCCCTGCTGCAGCTCTATCCTAGTGCTCATGGGCATCACTCTGAACTCGGTATAGAATCTGATTGCTCTCAAGTCAAGTCAGCTTCATGGTCTCTAATCTGTGGGGCCTCAGCTCATTTAGCCAGCCTTGTCCTTTTAAGACAGCCAGACCTTCCGAAACCCCAACTTGGACTCGGACAATGGCATCTCCCTACTCAAATGCCTGTTTATGCCAGTCCTCCTGGAAATCCCCCAGCTGCTAGCTGAAGGGCTATGCCAGCCCTTCTGCTCCCCCAAGCTCAGCACTGCTAACCTTGGCTGGAGACATTCAAGCAGAAGTACATGCCATAGATGATGTACACATACAGGGTCCCAGGTTTCATGAACATGCCACGGTTTCGGGGAGTCTGCCGGCCACCCCTTGAGTGAGCAGCTTCATCTTCTGGTCCCAAGTATGCCTCAGTCTCCACAATGCGCCCACGGAGTTCTGTTCCATCAGTAAGTCGCCGGACAAGGACCTGTGGGCAGTGAGACTGCTCAGGCTATAGGGATGGGAATCCACTCACCTAGACCTCTCTTCAGTTTAGGATGTGTCAGGCACCCAGACCTGGCCACCTGGCTCTTCCATTCTGCCTGTTCTTTTGCTTCCTGCTCACAGCCTGAATGCTGCTGTTAATTAAGGCCACCAGCCCTGCTTGACCACTGACTATGGCTCTTGTTCACTGAGGGTCCAGATCATGAGTTGATGCCACCTCAAGATTCACTTGTGGATTCACTATACAGGCAGATCTCTATGTTCCCTCTGTGGGGGCCTCTGCTTCCCCACTTCCTCTCACAGAGTTGTTTTGAGAGCCATAAATATTCAGCATGAGGCTGGGTAGTATGGAAGATATTGGCCCAGGGGACCCCCACATTGCTTCTGGGGACACTCCAGACTCTGGTAGCCTCACAATCTAGGCTGCCAAAGCAGCCACAATGGATGACATTCATCTTATACCCACCAGTACTAAGGCCTTTTGAGCTGCAGGACCAGTCACCTTGCAGTGCCTACCTAGCCTGGACCATAGTCTTGGGAAGAGTCAGCAGTCCTGACTCAACCAGGGCTCACAAAAAGAGCTTCAGGGTCCAGCCATGTCCAGAGCACCTTACATCCTTAAGCTAGAGAGATCAGTTGGCCAGAGGCCACTTTTATCTGAGCCCAGATAAACCCATGGTGCCTCAGGGTCAGTGTAACAGGATCAGGGTAGAGGAACAGAAGGGATCAGTTCTTGTCATAGAAGCATAGAAATCCCTTCAGGAACCCAAAACACCAAAGAGGGATGAACACCTTGGGAGTTAAGGTGGTCAGAGGGAGTTTCCTTCACTAACTACACTCACATGTTCCCATGTCTCTAAGGGGCACACTGGGGGCCCCAGCTGCCCTTCTAGAAGGGAGCTCCTGTACTTTTTTGGTGGAGGATTGTGTGTGTTGTGTGGGGGTGGGCAACATTCTCAACCCAGAATAGTCTGAATTGCCTTGGCAACTCACTGCAATGAACCTTTTACTGAATTTGTGACCCATTTCCTACATTATAGTTATGGAAAAGGTTGTTTTCTTGGACTAAAGGGATACAGAAGTTAAAACACCCTTTTCTCTGCTGAGCATCCTCTTGTTCACTAGTGTGGACTCAAGTGGGTGTGACAGGGAATGACCTTACATGCCCAGAATGCTGAATAAAGGCAGATGTATTTTGGTGGTGCTGGACCTTCCTTGGGCTCTTGACCCCAACCTGAGGTGAATCTGTACCATCTGTTGTTTTGTGATATCATAAATGTTCATTATCATGGTGCTTTTAGAAGGATTCTCTGACTCTTGTAGCTTAAAACATCCCTGAGAGGACTAGAGAGATGGCTTGGTGGTTAAGAGCACTGGCTGCTCTTGCAGAGGACCTGGGTTCAGTTCCCAGTATCCACATGCCTGGTACACCTACACTGAGCCCCGGGGGCTGCTGAGAAGCCAGGACTGATGCTGAGCCATGCAGTAAAGAAGCCGGCTGTCAAAGTGATTCTCATGCTAGCAGCCCAGTGGTCCCAGCCAAAGCACTCTCAGTGACAAAGCAGGCAAAAGTGGCTCCTTACAGATGCTGGAGCCCAGATAGTCCTTGAAAGTAACCTGTCCTAAGGAACTCAGATGGACTATTCCCTATTTCCCAGGTGGGTAAGGCTAACATACCTCTTGTCATTGCCAAAGCAGGGCAGGTGCCAGGTACAACACTATCAATAGCCTTATTTGTAGTGATCCTAGACAATAGCTAAACTATTCAGGGACCCATATGGGCAAAGCAGCTACTTATGTGAGCATAAGGAAGGCCAAGTCAGGGATGTGAACTAGTGAAAACACTGAGGCTCATGGCACCCAAATCTGCACTTACATTACCTGTCCCAGAAATGCCCGGGCCAGGGTGACTGCTGGCTGGTCAAAGAACTCTGGCCCCAATCGGGTAGGGTGGCCCTCTGGGCTGGAGAAATAGATGCTGCGCTGAACACCCAGGGTTGAGGGTGGTCTCTCTTTAGGGGAAGGCATCCAGCCTGTGCCTGGTGGGATCTGTTGCTGCTCTGGCTCTGTCAGTCGCTGCTTTTTTGGCCCAATCTTTCGGGAAAGCTGTAACAAATGGAAAAAAAAAAAAAAAATCAAGCATCTACCTGCCTCTTAGTTTCTTCATCTACAACATGGGGTGTCCAACTGATGGCGCATTATGATGCATAAGCAGGATCTAAGAGCTGATAACCTCAGGCTTTGGGATGTGGTCCAAGTAATGATGGGCTGCTAGAGTTGGCAGCATGGGCACTCTTCCCTCACACTTCCTGCACACAGGAGACACACAGTTTGGGGACCTAGGGTTGTAGGGCCTAAGGGAATGTGGGTTCCAGTCTGAAACAAAAGGCCTGGTACTTTCTCATTCTCATCTATCACATGATCCCCATGGAAACATTTGAATTTGTTTCTGGAACCTTATTCTTTGTTCCTAAGCCTGGCCAGGGATTTAAAATAGCCAGAACCTGGGCAGGGCCTAGCAGAGAAACAAACTGGATTTTTCTGGCACTGCCTGACAGGTCATAGGGTCCTCTCAGAGTTGCCCAGAAGGCCTGACATGCAAGTGAGTGAACATGGGCCTGACCATTTGCTTGGCCCCATCCCAAGAGCTCAGGGTGTAACCCAGCTGGCCCACAACTGTCACCTGCCCTAACGTCCAGGATATCAGAATAACCAGGATTGGGACAAGAAATCAAAGGGTCGTGGAGACCCAGCAGGGAAAACTGCAGGGAAATCTGACCACATCCTCAGCTGTTCTGTGTACAACAGAGAGGGCCAAGGATAGCTGGGCAGGTGAACCTGGGGCCAAGACCCACCCTCAGACTGAGCTGGGCTTCGGCTGTGGCTCTGACTCCCTGCCCAGTCAAGCTTTTTATCTTTTCTTTTTTTCCTGTAGACGGTGTCTCGTGTAGCCCAGGCTAGCCTTGAACTCCTGATCATCCTTCTACTTTCCGTGTATTGGAAATCACAGGCGTGTGCCACCACGCCCGGGTAAGACCCATTATTTTTATCTGCGGCGCTGACGTCCACGTTGGACCGAGGCTGCCAGGCTGCCGGGAATGGATGCTGACGTGACCGTCTCTGCAGCCCGACCCACTGTGCCAGCTCGCCGTGCGCTCAGACTACGCGACGCTGCGCCCCGTCTCACCGAGGCTGGCTTCTGGTGGGCCTCACGATATCCGGCCACTCGGAACCCTGCTCCGGCATCCCCCGGTTGGCGGGCCCGTCCAGGAAACGGAGGCTGGTCGGTGTCGGCAGGCGGGGTCACGGTCACCGGTTTTCGGGCCCGGGTATCGACAGACGCTTTCATCCGGGCTCCGCCACGCGCGCCCTTTGAGGCGCCGCTGCGGGACCTACTCGGCATCCGGAAGCGCGGGATGGGTGTGGGGGGGGCGGAGCCGGCGCATGCGCAGAAGGGCGCAGCCCGGGCGTGGGGTGAGCCTGCGAGAGGGTCGTGGTAGATCTGGGGACTCCACCTTGACCACTGATTCTGCCCTAGTGGTCCGACTGCCGCCGAATCTTGCCCCTCAGCTCCCCAAGATGGTCCAGGCAGACACCTGGACTGAGCTGGGACGGACTGGGCCGGGCCACAGGAGTGCAGTGAGTGCTGTAGAGTGCGCCGGGCCCTGTCCTGGAAGTCGCCTTCCCCAACCACACAGCCCTAGGAAGAGCTTGAAGGTGGAGTCCACAGAAAGTGGATGCCTGGCACATTCGGAGACCCCTGCCCTTGGGGCCATGTTCATCCCAGCCAGTCGGAGGAAGGAAAGGGGAGCAGTGGGGACTCTGCCTCAGGCAGTGGGCCACCCCCCAACCCCTGAAGCCTGGGTATGCTGCAAGGAGCGCCTACCCCTAGGCCAGGCTGCTGGAGCTGGCAAGCCTCCACCAGAGGCTGAGGGCAGGACTCGCAGAGAACACCGGCCTGGCTGCGTTCCAGTTGCTCTGCACCTCTAGTGTCTATATCTCCCCAGGACCCAGGCCTGCCACTCACCTGTCTGTAACTTTTTCAAGTCAGATTGTAGTGGGAAGTGCTTGACCCAGAGGAAGGAAGGGTCAAAGGAAGAGAGGTTATACCACCCTCCCCCAGCACAGTGGCAGCCCCACACCCAGCAGAACCTCCCCCATCCTTTACCACTCTGGGTCTGCAGGGTCTCTTGGCAGGCACAATTTACCCCCCACCATCCAGTCTTCCCTTGCCTCGTCAAAACCTTTGTCAGACCTTTGTTTGATTTCTGTGACCCTGACCTTGAGTCTCAGAGAGCTACTGGGTGTGGGATGGAAGGTGCTGGACAGGACAGAGGGTCAGGCCCTGTCTTTGACTCTTGAATGAACAAGGCATCTAGTCCCAGGCTAGGCTAGTCAGCAGGACCCTGGTCCCCAACTGATTTTCCAACTCAGGGACTGAACTCTGGCCCAGGCTGGGGCTCAGCTGTCCCACCCTCATGGGGCCCAACCAGGACTTCCTGGGGAAGGAGGGGCAGCCTCTCATGCTTGCTGCCCGCTGGAAGTCATCCAGCTGTTTGTGGCACTGTGTGCTGTTTCCGGGAGTGGGGTGGGGGACAATGTGTCATAAATCTGAACTAAAGAGGCAGGCTTGGATGTGGTTCCCACCCCCTTCCTCCTTATCCCCTGCAGCTATTCTGCCCAAACAATGACTGCCCCCTTCCTGTGGGAATAACCCCCCTTCCCAATCTAGGAGGGAAACTGAGGCCTCAGTTGGGTTCTTATTGCTTGAAGGCAGTGAGAGGGCATTCTGGAGACTTGGGAGAGCTATCTCATACCCACCTTTGGGTAAATGACAAGCTCTTTCTGTTTGGTGGGCAGCCTGGCTCCTACTTCAGGAGGTGGGGTGGTTGCCAGCATCCCGTTCTCCAGATGTTCTGGCCTGAGTGTGGGGATTGTGCAATGTCTGCCCCCTCCTCCTCACTTCCTGGTTTGTGGTGTGAAGCTCCCACTACAGGCTGAAAGTGGTGGGCTGGGCTTTCCAACAGTGTGTTTTGTCTGAAGCTTGGCCAGGGGTAAGAGAATGTTCAAGACTGGAGGGAACCTGGGACCTCCTCTGTCTCTAGTGCATCTTAGTGCTGGTTGGTGGCAAGGATGCCAGTGGAAGATGTTGTGAAAGGGGTCAAGGCTGAGGTGGGCATTAGGGACCCCCACCATGTTCTGAGTCCCCACAGACTGTGGAAAGGTTAGAGCTGCCTCCAGTGGGCTCCAACAGCCCGTTCCTGGTTGCTCTATATGCCACAGATAACAGGATTCTAGCACCAGTTTCACTGTCTCAGGGCCCCAGCAAGCTGATTTAGTCTTCTAACATGTCTGAAGCAGGAGCTGGGTCGCAGTCTGTTGCTTCCTGGTTTGGACACTAGCACCCTTCCAGCAGCTTCTCAGAAAACTGGCTGCTTCTCAGAAAACTGGCTGTTACCACCCTTGCACATCACTGAGGTTCTCTTTATCTGGGGGAGCTTTAAGGGTCAGCTGTTCTTTGGATGGAGAGGCAGGCTGAGGAGAGGCGTGGGTGCATCCTCCCTTCAGGGACCCATGGTGTGAAGGCTGGGAGGCTCTTGGCCCAGGAGCTTATAGGGCTGTTTTGCTAAGTCTAGGACTATGGGGACAGGGTTGTTGCTGTGGAAATAGCTGGTGACTTCAGGCCTTTGGCTAGTCTGGTCCACTCTACTTTCATCCCAAATAGCCAGGGGTTGGTCCTAGGCCTATCTTTGTGTTCATTCTCCATGTAGGGAAACTTCTTTTTTTTCTTTTTGAGACAGGGTCTCCTTGTAGCCCCAGCTGTCCTGGAACTCACTATGTAGACCTGGCTGGCCTCGAACTCACAAAGATCCACCTGCCTCTGCCTCCCAAGTGCTGGGATTAAAGGCGTGAACCACCATGTCCAGCTTTTTTTTTTTTTTTAAGTATTTTTATTTTATGTGTATGAGTGTATTGCCTACATGTAAGTACACCCATGTCGTGCAGTGTCTGTGGAGGACAGAAGAGGGTGTTGGATCTCCTGGTACTGGAGTTATGGATAGTTATTAACAGCTATGTGGGTGCTGGAATTTGAACCTGGGTCTTCTGCAAGAGCAACTTTTAACTGCTGAGTCATCTCTTCAGCCCCCAACTTTTTTTTTTTTTTAGTGAGTATTATGCCTGTACCTGTGCCATACAGTGTCCACAGAGGCTGGAAGAGGATGTCAGATACCCTGGAACTGGAGTTACAGAAGGTTGTTAGTTGCTGTGTGAGTGCTGGGAAGCCAACCCAAGTCCTTTGCAAGAGCAGCCAGTGCTTTTAAACTCTGAGCCATCTTTCCAGCCCCTAGGCAACTTCTTTTGATTTGTTCAGGGTCCCTACAAAGTTCAGGACTAGCTCCTGGAGTGATCACTTGGGGAAGCTGAGCTGAGGGTTCTAGGGTAGCTATTGAAAGTCCTCTTACTGGTCAGGGCTCCCACCCACTTATGTACTGGACAGTGCTACACAGGACCTGGAAGTTACATAGATGCTTGCCCTGCCAGCTCTGTGTGTTAAGAAATTGCAGCTGACTTCTAGTTCTTCATAGCCAATGAAAAGGGGCTGGGATTCCATGTAGTAGGCTCCTCTGCCCAAAGCATAGTTCAGTAGGGGAGGCAGGAGGTATTGGGATTGGAGGAACTGGATACAGACTTGAGCATGTGCCCACCCTCCACTGCTCACACTGTCCTGATGCCTTTGCTCAGGAGACCTGGATGGGCTGAGCCTGGGGAATCTTCAACCCAAATACTGATAGGAACATTTGCCTGCAGCGATCATGTATACTCTTGGGAACAACAACTGTGTGGGAGGGTGTAGGGGATGTGGGGAGATGGGATGTGGGGTGGGGTATGGG